GTTTCAACAGATCATTGCAATTTTTCATGGTATATATCAGAAGATAGAGAATTAAAAGTTGAACAAAATAAACTATATTGATATAACATAATGTGTAGCGATTGAAGTTTTATAAGGCCAACATGAGTCAAGGAGGGTCCTTTTTTGATTAATCTAAGTACAATAATGTATCTCATGCTGTGTTTTTCAGGATCAGGAGTTCCCAGACTGAATTTTATATCTATGTTGTGTAATTTTTTATTCTCTACAAAATGGTTAAAAAAATATTCAAGAAAAAACTTTTGAATTAATGCAAAAAATCGCTTACACCTCCTCATTTTTGATGATTTTTCAAAAGAAAATGATTATTTTTCGCGACTTTCATTGCTACCATACATCGCTAAAGCAAAATAGATATGATTATTCGGAATCAATGTCAGAAACTGCACTCAATCATATAAATTTTATCGGAAATGTTTTCCTGGCCAAAACTGATCTGTGGGAAAATCAAGGTGAAAAATTTCTTTTAAATATATCTGTAGAGAACTACAGGTCAGTTTTGGCCAGGAAAAGATTTTTGCTAAAACATATGATTAGATGCAGTTTTTGATGATGATGATTCTGAATATCATATCTATTTTGCTTTAGCATTATGTCATGACAATGAAAATTGCTAAAAATCTTCATTTTCTATTGAAAAACTATCAAAAACCATAAAAAATGAGGAGTTGTAAGCTCTTTTTCGTATCGAAACGGAACTTTTCTTCAAATATTTTTTACCATTTTTCAGAGAAAAAAAGTTGCACAACATATATAAAATTCAGTCTCGAATCTCTTAATCCTGCAACATACCAAGAGGTACACTGTTTTATGTAGAGTGATCAAAATGACCTTCCATTGACTTATGTTGGCTTTATAAAGCTTAAGATGTTAGACATCATATTATATGAATGTGACTTATTTTATTCAGCTTTTAATTCTCTATCTTCCTATGTATGCCATGGAAAACCTCAATAATCTGCTGAAACACAAGCTGGTACATCTATTATATAGGATATTTTTTCTTGTTTTTCCCCCAAAAGGTATAATAGTGCTAAAAGTTAGTATTGACTAACTTTTCATAGGAAGAGTATTAGAACCTAAAATTTTAGGGTTAGTAGTTTTAGACATTGAAGTTTTGAATGAGCAAAAAAAATCGAAAAAAAATTTTTATCGAGTGCCTCGTATATTGAAGCGATGCTGGATCAGCTCATGGAAGCTCTCTTAATTGATTGTTCTTTTTTTTGTTCCTTCATGTTCAAAATGATCATTATAATTTCATGTCTGTGTCTTTTAATCGAGTACATGTAAATATCATGCATGTCATGTTGTAATTTCTACATTTTAGATCAAAGACACATAACAATGTATGGGCAGATGCTTTTCTATAAATGTACATTCGATTGTTTAAGCAAAATTTTGTTTCAAATAAATTCTTATACCCAAAAAAAAAAAAAAAGAAAAGCCAGTTCCGTTTCCTTTACCCATCTCAATATCAAGAAAAGAAGAAGTATGTAATCATTATCATCGTTGATCTACACATAATATGATTGAATAAAATAAGCCGAAATATAAACATGATCTATTTTTTCATTAGTCAAGAGAATAGAAAGTGATAATTATCTAAGTGAAAGGATCTACATCAAATAAAAACTATTAAACAAACAAATATCATGCCGTGCAAGGAGATGCTATTCATCAGAAAATATTAGAAACATCAACATTCTCATTGGATATTCTTGTACAATTATCAATATACAATTGAAATTAGGAGTCTTATTCAATTATGAAAAACAACAGACATCGACATATGATTAAGAAGAAGGTCAAAATAGAAAATATCATTTTCCAAATAGAGAAAATATTCATGCAACTAAAGAGAACTTTTTTTTTTTTTTGTTTCAATAATTAATTATATTGAATTTCGTCATTTGTATGTACATAAACAAACAAATTATCATATTCAAGTCAAGACAAAAAAAAAATTTACAAGAGAGAAAAAAATAAATAAAAAAGGAAGTCGTACGATATAAAATAATCTAAATGGTGTGTTGTAAAACATTCTTCTTCCTTACGAGAGAGAGCGAGAGAGAAAAAAAATTGCAACAACCAATCAGATATTTTTTTTAATGTCGAAGTAAGAGAAGAACGAGAGATAATTTTTTTTTTTTTCTCCTATCATTGGATGATGATGAAGAAAAAACAGTTACAAGTCAAACATACATACACACACACATCTCATTGACGAATACCAGACATATACACTAGTCAGTTCATTTATTAATATACAGGTGATTGATTATTTTTACTTTTAAATCATGTTCAATGTACCAAATGATTATTTTATTTCATCACCATCTTCACCTAGTCTAATATTTAATCATCAACATCATAATACACATTATCATCCATATAATCGTATATCAACAACTTATTATCCAACACATGATTTTGAAACATATTCATTTGATGATAATAATCATACAATACAAAATTATAATCATAATACAACATGGAATGAAAATGATTTAGGAATAGGAGGACAAACAGGTTAAACAAAAAAAAAATTGTTTTTCAAAAAAAAATCATTTTAAATAGGTACTCCTCGTGTTTTTAAACGACGTGTATCAGCTAATAAAAAAGAACGTCGTCGTACACAATCAATTAATACAGCTTTTTCTGATCTTCGTACAGCTATACCAAATGTTCAACCAGATACAAAATTATCAAAAATAAAAACACTTAAATTAGCAACAAAATATATTGAATTTTTAATGGATATTTTATCTAAAGATGATCCAACTGCTATGCCAAATACATTTAAAGCTGAAATTATTAAAACACGTCGAGATCATCGAGATTTAATGAAAGTAGGATTCATTTTTTTTAATCGATATATATATATAAGAAATTCTTCAAAATTTTGTAGTTTGATAATTCATCATCTACACGTAAAATTAAAGGACGAACAGGTTGGCCACAAACTGTTTGGCAATCGGAATTAAATCGTCATGAAAATTTTCATCAAAATGATAACAAACAATAATATACTACTATCATTATGTTGTCTTTTCCTTTTTTTTTTTTTTTTGCTTTTGCATGCCGGTGGTTGTACACAGATATGATAATGTATAAAAATAAAATATGAAAAGAAAGGTTAAATATCTTCATTTAAACTTATTTTAATGCATTCAAAGCATATCTTAATGTTTTATCTATTTCAATTTAATCAAATGAAGTCTATATATATAAATATAAATTTATCTTTAGGTAAAAATCAATGAATTTATGACTAAATAAAAAATTGTCTATGTATCTGTTTTATTTCTTTAACATCGCGTGAGACAAAGACCAAGTAATTGATGTTATAAAGTAATAGAAAGAACGATGAAGGAAATATAATTTTCATAGTATTAAATAGTCAAAAATGGTTGATTAATTATTCCTTTTTCTCAAAAAAAAAAAAAAAAAAAAAGAAGAAGCTCTTTTATATCAACAATAGAAAAAGAAGAAGAAAAAAAAACAACAACACGAGATCTGTTCAGTATCAATCATTATGATTAAGACAGATAGATAGATAGATAGATAGACAATTATGCATTAGATGTATTGTCTATTCAAGAATAGAAATGAAAGAGAAAATGGGATAAAGGTTAATATAAATTAATCAAAAAAAAAAAATGAATATGAAAAATTTCAAAATTATTCGATCGTTATATAAATTCGAAGCAATGTTTAAATTATAATATTTTATTAGTGTTGAAATTTCCAAGATGATGATTATATTATTTGAACAAAAAAGTAATTACTAAGTCAAATGCCAGATAAGTTTTTATTATTAATAGAACTATATATACAAAGTTTAGTAGATCGTCAAATAAGATGTTTTATTTCGAAATAAAGTCTAACAAATAATAATAATAGATGAGATATTTATGTTTTAACCCTTTACCCCCCACAGCGGTTTCAGAAGAGCCACCAATAAAATAACTATATGAATAGAGTACTAGCGTGCCTAGTATGACAATTATGTGCTCTGATTCATTGAATGTCTACCTCTTTGTGTAGAGCCATTTAATTGGTCGTTTAGCCGTGTGATGGAGCGAGGAGATGGAACGACATATTAAGCGTTGACTTGTTTTTCTTTGACCACATTATTGAATGAGCAAAAGTAACATCTATCTTATCTTATTGGAATAATGGAAAACGGAGGGAATAAACCGATAAAATTTAATGCCAAAAGAATGCATGTATTTTTAGCGCATTTTCTTAAATAGGCATCTACCTTGTTTTGAGCCGTTTAATAACTTCTGAAGACATTTAATTCAAAATAAATACTATTCTAACTTCTCATGAACTGAGGTCTATAATACATATATTACCATTTCTCTTAATTGCCCTAAAGATGCCTCACAATGACTTCTTAGTCAGTTATGTACGTTAGTGTGTGGAATTGGCTAACTTATCGTGATGCATTCGAAATATATCTAACTTACTAGTAGACACTTTCATCACTTTATATCACATAGAAATTCCGAAAGATCTTTATTCACTGTAAGTATAGAACGATTTATTTCCAAAAATTCGATTTTTTTCATTTTTTTCAAAATTATCGATTTTGTTGGCCCAATATTTCAAAGACGGAGCGATGAAAAATATTATTCTTTTTACCAATCGATAGCTCATAAAGTTCACTACAAAAAATGTTCTTATCGTTTTCAAATCCCATGCTTCCTTTATTTTCTGCAATCAGTCTACAAAATGGCAATTCCAATTGCCAATGAGGGGTAAAGGGTTAAGAATACATCAAAAAATAATATAAACAATTTTCATCATAAAAACTACACGGTTATGATGACACACATGATTATTTATAAAAACAACTAATGAAATGATTAAAGATGAGATCCAATACCCAAAAATACAGATATATATATATATATATATATACCATTTTATCAATAAAAAAAAACAACCTTGATTTAACAAATAATTTGTTCACATGGAATTCGTTCACGAAATAATGAAAATGTTTCAACTAAAAGATAAGCAACAATAGATCCAATTAATGCACCTAATTGTACATTAACACCAAACCAAAACATTCCATTAGATGAATATGTTCGTACATAATTTGCAATAATCAAACGAGGATAACCCAATAATAAATAAGTACTAAGCCATATAATTAATATTAAAATACTACCTTTAGTTGTATCAACCCATGGTGGACAAGGACTTTTAAATGAAACATACATACTAAATATAAATGTTAATGATCCAAATAAAATGAAAATTAATATATAACGTTTAGATAAAATAGGTTTTATCATTCCAAATATCCAAACAAGTGTTAACATCCATGGTGAAATAATTGTTCCTAAATAAAAAATTTGATGTCCATAAGGCATTAGAACATATGTTGAAATTGAAAGAATCATTCCAAATAAAATTGAACTTGTATAAGTACATCCTAATAAAAGAAGAATATATGATAAATTCGTTAAAGATTTTTCTTTTTGTTTATTAATTGTATCCATTGTTTCTAATGTTGTATCTGATATGATTTGATGTGTATTACGTGCAATAGATGTCCATTGTAAAAGTATAAATGATATAAATGAAATAGTTAAAAGAATAAGTAAACATAGAAAATAGATTGATACTGAAAATCGTGCATTTTCATAAATAGCTTCAGTTATATTTGTTCCATTCATTATTTGAATACAATGAATTTGACCATTACCTTGTGCAATTGCTAATAAACTTGGTAATATAGATGTAAGACTTTCTCCAAGAAAAAGTGTATTTGTAAATTCTTTTCGAAATTTATGTATATAATCAGCAAATGAAACTGATGATGTACAATCAAGTAATGAAAGAAAAAAATGCAAGAATTAATAATGCTGTACTACGTTTTTCATTAATAATAATTGTTGTACGTGACCAAAAGAAAATTAATAAAAAACATGAAATCATACCAATAAGTATAACAATGTAATTAATTGGTATTGGATTAAGTTTATGTTTTCGATGAAAACATTTAATAAGAACAAGTATAAATGGTGCAATATTACCAAGATTTGTAATTAATGCAAGATTTGCACCTAATTTCCAACTTTCAGGTTGAGTTAAAACAATTTGTGGTAATTCAGCAAATATTCCATTTATATCTGTCCATGATGAAAGAAAAACAAGTGTTAATAAAATGTAAGTTATATATTGATTGAGATTCCATCGATGATACATTGTCTGAAAATATTTTTAATATTAAAAAAAAACAACAAAACAATAGAAAATTAATACACATGAATTATTTTGTATGTGTTTTAAGAATAATATAAAAACAAATTACAATTTTTATCAATATAAATAGATGTATGTTTTGTATTATTAATTTTTTTTTATCTATGCACAAAATATAGTAAATGAATCATAATTCTTTATAGAGTGAAGATTATTTTCACGGATGACCTTTTTAATAAATATAATATTAATTTATTTCTGCTCTTTAGAATTAAATCAAGAAAAAAAAAAGACAATAAAAAAAATGAATCAAACATTTTTCCATAGAGTTCATAGATATTTCTTGCATTCAGCAGGTGGATTGGGTCCCTAAAAAAAAATAAAAATAAACATTGTTGATTATTTATTCAATTAATCATTTAAAAATTTTTCATTTACTTTATAGAATTTGCATATAAGTTTAATTAAATTTCTTTCTGCTTCCTGTTGCATTTCTTCTGTATGTTTACCATTAACTGTTATCCATGGTACATATTTATGTGGTGGTTGAAGACTTTCTGTTTGAACAGCATACATATGTTGTAATTGATTACCTAATGTACTTTTAGTACATGCATCAATTTTATTAAAATCAATTTTTGTTTTTTCTGCACATTGAGTAGCAACAGTTTTTACATCTCCAGATGTCGATTCAGTACAATTAACGAATGGCTAAATAAAAAAAAAAGAAAATTTTATAATAAATTTGATTCTTTCTTTCATCATTCTTACCATATATTGTTCAATAGTTGGATAGAAATTAAGAACACAAGTCTAAAATAAATAAATCACATTTATTTAAGAAAATAAAAAACACGTATTCTTCTTTTTCTATTTCACATGAATTAAATTTCCTAAACATTCATCAGCACCATGTTGACAAACAAATTGATAAAGCTTAGTTGTTGGATCATATGTTTCATGTGCATTTCCATAAGGTACAATAGTTATATTAATAATATTAGGAATTGTTTGATATGTTTTTGAAAATTGTGTTGTCATAAAATATCGACAATCAGGACAAAGTGTTTCATAATAAAGTGTAAAATTAACTTTATCATTTCCATCATGAATTTTCCAAACAAATTTTTTACATTGTTCAGTTACCTGATATTAAAAACAAATATTCAAATAATTATCAAAAATTTTCATTTACATACACCACAAATTTGAGCAATTTCTTTATTTTGACACCATTTAGCTGATGATTTTGGACAATGAATTGTTAAAACATTATTAATACAAAAAAAAATAAAAATTGTTGAAAATATTATCGATGTATACATGATAAAAATAAAGCACGTAATATACAAAATGATAAAAATGATGTTGATAACATTATATATAAATTTTTCTATGAAAATAAAATATCATCATTACTTAGTAAATTTTTTTGTTTTTTCCTCTAAACTATTCTGACATTAAGAAAAAATAAAACACATGATAAAGAATGAAACAAAATCTTCTACTCAAAATAATTCTATGATGTATATACCATATAAATATTCTATTTATAAACAAAATAAATATGTTAATATTTTTTATATAATATATTTAAATAAGAACTTATAAATTGAAAAATATTTCATCTAGTCATAAGAACATCTTACGAAAAAGTTTATTACCTTTATCACATGCTGGTTTGTTTTATATGATATATATGAGAAGAAAAAAAAAGCAACAAACATTATCGAATGGAAAAAAAAAATAAGTCAAAGAGAAAAATAAAATAAAAAAACAGTTCACAAGTTTCTTTTGCATTGAACAGGTGGATCAGATCCCTAAAAACAAAAAAAATAACAACGTTTGCTTTATAGACAATTTTTTTTAATTACTTTATATGAATTACATATAAGTCCAATAAGATCTTTTTCAGCTTGTTTTTGTATATCATCTGTATGTTCACCATTAAGTGTTATCCAAGGTACATATTGATGTGATGGTTGAAGATTTTCAGTTTGAATAGCATATGCATGTTGTAATTGATTACCTAATCGACTATGTGTACATGCAGTAATTTGATCAAAATCAATTGTTGATTTTTGTGCACATTGTATTGCTACAGTTTCAACATTACCTTCAATTGATTCCATACAATAAATAAATGGCTAATGGAAAAATCAAAAACAAAAGAATTAAAACAAATTTTTTTTTTTTTCATTTGAAATATTATTTTACCATATGTTGTTCACTTTTTGGATAGAAATTCAAAACACAAGTCTAGAATAACAAAAAAAATACTATAAATACAGAATAGTCCAAAGGTAACCTGACAATCTTTGATTGCGAATAACTTTTGATAGAAAGCTGCGCAGTTTTTACTGTTCGAAAAGAGGCATTGAACTGTATAATATAAGATAATTTGACCTAGGTTTTTGAAAACCAACGTACTCCGTAAGGTGTCTATACAGAATTTTCTATGATCACGTGTACATTCGAATCGTTAGTCAAAAACCTACAAAATTGTGTAAAGCCTAGATTTTGAGAGTTACTCCTTTAGAAGTTATAGGTATTCTACTCAAAATTTTTCTATTAATTTCTATGAAAATATCACTTTTTTTATTTCATAAAAAATCATTTTTCGACAATTTTTTTTAGAAAAATCTATAATATATAATTCGATGCGTTTTCATCTTCTCTTTCGAATGGTGAAAACCGCAGGTCTCTATCTTGTTTCTAATAAAAGTTATTAGCAATCAAAGACTGTCGGGTTACTTTTGAACTACACTATCAGCGAAAATGAGACATAGCCATTTGCGATTTGATTTTGATTCTTTTTTCCATAAAAATTAATTCTATCAGCTTGCATCTAATTAATTAATTAAAATGTAATTATCAAATAACTTTCTTAATTAATAACGTACAGATCTAAGAATTTTAGAATACGCTACAAACTACTTAGGGCAATTCAAAAGTAATGGTGGAGATGCTTTATTTTTCATATAGAAAGCTTGAGAAAACTTTCTCTTTTTTTATATAATGATAGTAAAAACAATGCTGTATGTTTCTGTTATATTTTTTCAACAGATATCATAATAATAATAAAATTTCGATAAGAACTGTTTGTTATGATATGTAACGATAACATTAAATAATATTATCTTCAATATACATTCTTCTTTTGGCTCTTCTCTTTTTGAGTGTAGTGTAGAGTTCGTCGATTCAATAAAATCATTCGGAACTGAAATAACTCACAAAGAGAAGAGTAAAAGAAGAATACATATCGAATACGATATAATTTTATCATTACGATATTAGTTAAAAAATAGATCATTGTTTCTAGTAATACTACATATAAAGTGAAAAGTTTTTGTACAGAAATCAAGTACTTTCGGATTATTTTCAGCAAGAACGGACTTCAAAAGTTATCTACAGATGTCTACGCATGTTACAGAGTGAGAATGTTTATTTTACTACCATCGATGGATCCCCAAATGCTAACGCTAGTTTTTCAATAATAATATAGTAGAACAAAAATCTATAGAACTGAATTTTTTCAAGGTATCTAGAGTAATAACTCGATATAGATTAAAATTAACTAGAAGAAATCTAAATGATATGTGTATTTAACGAAATCATATCGCTAATGGAATAAAATATGCTCATATATTTTGTTATGTTTACATGAATTAAATTTTCATAACATTCTTCAGCACCATGTTGACAATAGAATTGATAAAGTTTTGTTTCTGGTCGATATAATTCTCGTGCATTTCCATATGGAATAAATGTTATATTAACAATATCAAGTATAGATTGATAAGTATTCCAAACTTGTGTTGTTATAAATTGTCGACTATCAGGACAAAGTGTTTCATAATAAATTGATAAATTAACACGATTAGTTTCCATACGAGTTGTCCAAACAAATGTTTCACATTGTTCAATTACCTGAAAGAAGAATATTAGTAGAAAAGAGATTTCTTTTTTTCTTACATACATCACAAGCTTGAGCAATTTCTTTTGTTTCACACCATTTCAATGGTGAATTTGGACAATCAATAGTTAGGCTATTATTAACAAATAAAAAAAGTATAGTCGAAATAATAAATGACATATACATAATTATATAATATTATCTGCAAAAAAAAAGAAAACAAAAGGTAATAGAAAATGAAGATTTGATAATTAGAATAAAGTATAACAAAGGGATTTAATCTACTTAATAATCAAGTAAACCTCACTGTTTTCTTTTCATAGTCTCTAAATTAAGATATTCAATTTCAAGTCGAGCATCAAAAATAACATCATTAACACCAATACCACGATAGGAATTTCCAACAAGTGTTAGTGGTAAGTTATAACGTCGAATAAGAGCATAAATATCATCAAGATTATCGTCATGACCAACAATATAATTCTAAAAATAAGCAAAGAAAAAAAAAACATTAGCTCTGCAACTATTCTATAATGAATTCAATTAAAATTAAGACTATTGAAAAAAAAGAAAGACCGATTAAACAGTTATCTAAGTTTCTGTTGATAAATTATTTATACTTGCATCCTTCAGTGTATTCTTGGAATTATCCCCGAAAAAAAATCCGACTATACTTATTCCTAGTTCTAATATAGAAGTGACATCAAGTTAGAATCCATCGAGTTCAAAATTTTTGAACTCAGAACCAATTCATACCCTTAATGTCAAGAAAACTATTTAGTATAACGAAGGAGTCTTCGACTGATTAATCGCTTTTGAGTTGAGACTATATGCATTATATAGACCTATATTAACTATGAATACTTTGAAAATAATTTTCTTTTGTGAATACTTCGGATTCTGTCGCTGTGCATATCCTAAAAAAAACAACTATGGCAATACTATGTCTTTTATATCGCTCATATACATATAGAGATTTGATATTCTTATTTCAGGAAAGAAGCAAATCAGACAACTTGAAACTTTCACAATAAATTATGCTGATTAAAGTCTGTTTTTATGCAAAATTTCGAATTGAAATTCGAAAATAAGTTTCTCTCTTATCACAATATTTCATTTAATAAATACTTAGGGCATACAAAAAGTTCTGATCACAACGTTTAAAGGACCTTGTCGACTAAGGTGATCTATTCAGAAATGAAAAATCAAATATTCGGTGTTGTAGAACTTTTTCAGGCGTGTCAAATGATCTATAGCAAATCCTGTTGTCATACGAATTTGAACAAACTAGGATCAATATACTGATAGACGACTACATATCTACACCTAAGCATGATAAGTTTCTAAATATTGTGGTTCTTGGTATTTGTAAAATATTTTTTCCTCACATACGATATTGTATAGAGTTTTTGACGGGCTACAATCTCATATAATGTAGCCTTCAAAATCTTATGAAAACAGGATTTGTTATATACCATTCGATGCGCCTGAAAAAGCTCTACAACATGGTATATTTGATTTTTTCATTTCTGAATAGGTCACCTTATCCGACAAGGTCCTAATACACATAGTCTCGACTCAAAAGTCATTTCATAGATAATCTAATAATAATTAAGTCATAATTCACTATGTGATCTTTTAGATCGATCATGAATCTGATTAACAAGAAGTTTTCAGATCCGAGACTAGAATCCATCGAGTCCTATTCAAATCCGGCGAGCTCTTATAACGAGACTAAAATGAATTTAACACTCTAAACTAATTCTAAAAAATTGAATTAACATACTGGTATTGCTTTATTAAGTCTTGATATAGAATAAAATAATGGTTTTTCATTTAAATCCATTTGTTTTTTTAATTCATTCATAACAATATGCATTAATTGTTCATCTGTACATTGTCCTAATCTTAATTGATCAAACCATGCACCACCCATCATAACAGTTAATTGTGATCCATGTTTATTTTTATCACTTTTTTGACGTATACATGAATCAAATAAAACTCCAAGTAAATGTGATTGTTCACGTGATGGAATTAAATAACCAAATGCTTCTAATGGAAAAATATCTTTTTTTTCATAAAGTAAATTAATAACAATCATATTAACAAATGGTATTTGATTTAATTGTTTTTGTAAAATTTCATATTGTTTATTATCAAAATAATTAGCTAATTCATATGATGGTATTGCACTAATTAAATGATCGATATGATATTTTTCATTAGATTGTGTTAAAATTTCAATAGAATTTTTTTCATTATGAAAAAATTGAATTTTTTTTATTGTTTGATTAAATTTTAATTCAATATTTGATAATGATTGAAGATATTTAATTAATATTTTTATAAGTATTTCTAAACCATCATGTAAATAATAAATTGAATATTTATTTAATAATGTTGAATAATCATTTAAATTTAAATCATCAAAAAGAAAATGTATTGAATTTTCATTTTGTTTATCTTTTCGTGTTTTTAATAAACCACCTGTTATTGAACCATAACGTTGTTCAAGATTAAAAAGTTTTTTAAATACACTTCGTGCACTTAAATCTGTTACACTACCAGCATAAATACCTTTTATAAGTGGATCAAGTAAATATTCAACAATATCTTCAGCAAAAATATGACCTAATTTAAAGAATTTTTATTTTAAAATAAAGCAAAAAAGAAACACTCTTCTTGTTTACCAAAACGACGATAAATAAATGATTTAATAGTTTCATCTTGAACAGTAAATCGACCTTTTTCAGAAAAATATTCATAAAGTATATAAAAAATTGGTGGATAACGTAATGGTTTTCCACCAAATATTAATGATAAATCATTAAGATTAATTAATTTTTTATTATAATAAATAAGTCGATTTTTAAATGATGCTGATGTTTTTTCAATAGGACAAAATTGTTCATTAAATATATTAAGTTGTTCAAGTAATTTTAATGTATTTATTGTTGAATGATTATCTAATGATGAAAAACCAGTATGAAGACGTAATGTTCGTGGACCATGTTCAAATATATGTGAATCATATTTTTTTTCTAATTGTTCAGTTTGTATCCAACCACCAAAACGTGATGATCTTTCAAATAATAAAATACGTAAATGAGGAATTTTAGAACGTGCTACTTTTTGTGAAAGATAATAAGCTGATACAAGGCCAGCTATACCACCACCGACAATACCTATTGTCGGTGATTTTTGCATTCTAGAAAAGAAAGAATAATTTACTGTATAGTATAAAAACTATACTATAGATATGTATGAACATTTTATTTGCTAGATATCGATCAATACATTAGAAACAAAGAGGGCGTTATATGACGTTTGATTTATTTATCAAAATCAGTAACAACTTTTCCTTTAACTCGACTAGTATCTAAACGTTCATAAGCTTGTTTTACATGATTACTAAATTGAAAAATAGAATCAATTACAGATTTAATAATGCCTTTATTAAACATATAAAATATTTGATCAATATTTTCTTTTTTAGATGATAAATTAATATAATAATAACGTGGTCCAAGACCAATTATTGATTTTAATGATCGTAAAATCATTCTAGAAGTAAATAAATATGATATTATACCACCTAAAATATTTCGTGATATTTTATTACCAACAATTGTTAAATAAATTGATTGATTTGATTTAAGAAAATCTAAATTAAGATATGGAATAAATTTTATTCTACCTACACAATCAAGAATAATATCATACGGTCCATATCGTTTACTTTCAATAATAATATCATTTTTTTATATAATCAATTACTTCATTTGCATTCATTTCTTTAACAAATTCAATACTTTGAGTTGAACATATTCCAACAATATATGCATTCATTGCACGTGCAATTTGACATGCTATATGGCCAACATCCCCGGATGCACCTAGAATTCACCAATTTTATATTTAGTAACATTATTATACCAATTTTATAAATTATACCAGAAAAATCAGCATCAGGAATTTTTGCTTTATTTATACCAGAAATTAATAACGAATTTGAAATCCATTGTGGTATATTACCTATTTGAATATTAACAGACACTTTGAAATACATATAAATTTCATAACAAAAAGGTTTTCATTTGATAAATATTAATGTGTTGTCTATATTACTGTATTGATTATAATCGTTTTATTGATCGTGAATTATTTTTTAATAAAAGATATGATGTATCCTCGGATAAACTTTGAAAAAGCATATGATGGACACAACGAGCAATGAAAAATTTGAAATAAATATTCTTCTTCGTTCTGTTTTGATTTCGAGTCCCTAGAAAATTATATCCTATCAGCTACACATTTTCACCATCTCGCCATATTGAAAATATACTGAATTAGTTTAGCAGTAAACCGCGATATGTGTAACAAAAACTGGCAGTTAATCGCTTACAATGTTCTGTATGTTCCACATAGAAACAGAAAAATTCAGCGATAGTTGCGAAGAGTACTATTTTCTCATTTTTCATAGATTCAAAATATCTGATAGCCCAGTGCAATATTAAATTATATTGTAGTTGTCATTGCAAAAGTATATTTTTAGAGATTGTTGTTCATAAAGTTCTCGGATGATATTTAAAACAATAAAAAGTTCGTAGTCATGATGATATTTATTTTTAATATATTTTGCATTCTCAATGGGACCGAGTCAGTTATAGAAGAACTGATTTGTCACTTATGACCAATAAAAAATCAGAAAAAAGCACTAAACTGGATCGACGCTAGAAGACATTTTCATGTGATGCTTATGTTTCGAGGCAGATTCAACTTGTCGATATTATCTAATGCATGCGTCAAATTGTGAAAAATCAAAAACTTTCTGAAAAATTGCAATTTTTTAAAGTTTGGTATCAAGCAGAAGCGGCGAGCTTTATCCGGAAAAAATGACCGGTAAATCGTAAATACCGATGGTTTTTATCATATGAGTTGGCGCTCATCAAAGCTCTGATTACTCGAGAATAAGAAACTTGCTGGAAGGACACTTTAGAATTACCAGACTGACACTGAATTCTGAATTGTGTCAAAATTATAATAATAAATCAACTTGGTTAAAACTTTTTCGTCAATTTTGACGTTTTCTTGGAATTATATGATAGTGGATAGATCTATAACTAAGTAGTAAAATTATTTTAGCAGTATTCAGGCTTCCAAAAACGAAAATTTTCAGCATTTGTGTTCCAAATTGTTAGGTACTTCTCAAAATTTTGTAATTTCCGAAATTTCCATTATTTCTAAAACGTTTTGATTTGCACTGCTATGTGATCATCGAGCTTATGAAAATTACGGAAATTCCAGCAATTTTCTTTTTCAGAAATCTAAGCATACCTCCAATCTAATACTATAAACACTGCAATTATCGTTCTTTACATTACTGTTTTCTAGATAAAAAAATGATGCAAGTTTCAAGTTATTTCTTTGTTCAAAGCTATATTAAAGATAAGCTTTTTCTATGAAATGTGAGATGACAAGTTCTTGAAGGTAAATATTTATTTGAACTTTGAGAAACTTGTATGTAAGTGATAAACAAAAAGTCATTTTGTAGTTGTTTAAAATTGATTTGTATTGTAATAAAAGGAAACAATCAATGGTCGATCATTGATCTGATATTGATCAACATGTTCGATCACATTGGCTGCTTCTCGAATAGTATTGTAAACAAGAAACGCATACCTGAAACAAAAATAAATAAAATTGGATTCAAGTTATTTCTTCAGAGTATTTTCATTACATTTCATTAGTTAGGTATCTATTAACATCAATTTCTACTATTAGTCTTATTTAATTTTTCGTGCTCTATCTTTCATTTTTATCGAATTATAACTATTTTGTGTCTTATTTATCATTCACTATCAGATTGCAAAAGGCAACTCTCTTTAAAAAAGTTACATTGATGCATAATGAACTTTTGTGTCTTGTCTGTCGAATATGATATTAGAAACTTTCGTAGTTCCCATCTCAAGAAAATGGTTCGTGGTATTGATGTCGTTCATCAGCATCGATATTATTTTGGTAAATTTATCCATATTCCTCAGCGTTCATAGACAAATAATCGAGATTGATCACATTGATAGAAATTATTTGTAATCAGTATTGATGATTAAGATGCAATACGAGCTGGATTATGTCAAGTCAATGAATGATGTGGACATGTCGAGCCAACATTCTGAACAGTCTTAAGATAAAATAAACATTTCATATATTTATTCATTTAAGTTTACTATCAAATACCTTGAAAAAGTTTAGTAGAACGAGAGAGTTTGCATTGTATACACTTTTGTTCTACTTCGCTATTCTCTTATTATAGACATCAAGTAACAGTACGTAATCGGTGCAATTTTTGTCAAAAGTTGGTATAGAGGGATCCCAGTTTGGATACACAAGATAAGAAAGACTAATGGGAGACGATCCAACTGGATCCGATAAAACAGACAGTTGACTTAAATGAGATGACAACTGATGTTTTATTGAAAAAAAGGTGAACAACTTCAGATCAGTTCGCGGAAAAATTGTTGACCTTCGATTACCTCAAAAAAATGCGTGGATCGAGTCACAAAAACTTGATCCATGTTGCACACTGTTAGTGACCTCTATTAATAGATTGAGATTTGAACTTATATTCAAATATGTTACGTTCTAATAACGTATGCAAAGCATTTGTTTCTGCTCAATGATTTGAGTATTCAGCTCATTTCGTTTATTTTTCATCGAAACTGACGATTAAATGTTGTTGTGAAAAATCTGATGGTTCTATTCAACTTAGCCTTCATCAGCAATTTTCTATGGTTTTTTTCTCAAATGAGAATTATTTGTCTTTCAGGCGTCAAGCTCCTTTCCAAAGTAGACGATTTTGAGGCATTATAATTGATTTTGTTATATTACGGTGTAATTAATTTTGTGGGTGTATTCTTTGACTGTCGAACTATATTTGTAGTGCATCCATAGTGTATTATCAAATTCAGAATGAAAGTCAAATCAGTCATTATCGCTAATACCCTAGTCTCAATCCTGTTCAATCCTCGAGAAAGCGTGGAAAGATCTTTCAGGATCTTGTCTCAAATCCTAAGAAATGCTATTTCCAGGATTCTCAAAGTTAAACAGGATCCTGCTCAGATATTTTTATGAATTGAAAATGCAGGATCCTACCAGGATTCATTGTCGATTCTATTGAGGATCTTGACAGAATTATCAGAGAGGATTCTGCTAAGATTTTATCAGGTTTCCGTCAAGATCCGACCAAATTTTCGTATTAGGATGGTGTCAGAGTTCATAGCGACGTCAGACAAGGATCTTAGCAAGAAAATAACAAGATGAACCACAATCTGAAATTGATTAATCCTGTCCAAAACTTTTCAAATATAAGTGTTTTCAGACCTTGCAAGGCAATGATAATCCTAATTAGAATATTGATAAGACGATATAAGGATTCAGTTAGGATCTTTGTAGGTTATTGTTTACTCTACTCAGAGCTATTCGTTTCTAGAGAAAGTTTCGAAGAATTTTCCAGAATCATAAACCAAATGGATCCTGCCAAGTTTCAGTCAAGGTTTCTTTAAGTTCGTGCTCGGATTTTTTTCTGAATTGAGAATATAGGATCCTACCAAGATTTACTCTCAATCCTATTCAGAATCCTGACAAGAATCATAGAAAAGATTTCGATCGAGATTTAATCAAGTTTTAGTCAAGATTTTTTCAGAATTCTGTTACAACTTCTATTCATTCTTGTTATATGGATCTTGCGTCGAACTCTTCGAGAACAAGAATTCTGAATCCTTGAAAAGTAATACAAATATGATCAGCATCCTGCCGAGAAAATACAAGAATTTAGTTAAAATTTTTGAAGACTTGTGTTTAGACTTCTTATCAAGATTTATAACTGATCCTGTTCAGGCTCTTGACAAGAATACATGAAAAAGTTTCATTAAGATTTTATGTACTTCTTATTTAGAATCTATCTAAGATCTGTACATTGAAAAATCACAATAGGATTGCAATACCAATATTGAATAATGTCTCAAGTATTATAAATTGGATGATTTTTTAAGATTTTATTAATTTTTTGTTTCGAATGTGGCAAAATTCTGAAAATTGAGAAACCAACTAAGATTTTTTTAA